GAGGGGAGGGTGGTCGACTTCCACCCTCATCCAGGATTTAGTGCCGGTGGCATTCAGTTCTACCTGTATGCTTATCTATCAGAACTGCATGGTGTCAACTACCTTGCTAGCTGCAATTTGATAATTGAAGGCCGACATTCAGTTAAGCATCAAGTTATCTGATTTCAGTTATGTTCCAATTCAGAAAAATAGCAGTTCTAAAGACTTGTATGAGCAAACTGAGATCATGAACTGCTATTTGTTCTCTTTTCTGTCCCTACATGGAGCGCGTCGGCGGCCACGATGTCAAGCGTCGGCTAGGAAAAGTACATATGGTCGACAAATAATTTGGCAAGAACAGAGTGTGCATTGCCACCTATGGTCCTATCAAGTTTTAGCCATTGATCTTTTTAGTTACATATCCTAGGCGTCAGAGTTCAGATTTCAGAGTTCACATATAGCTGCCTAGTGTTCCTTTTGTTTCACTTAAAGTGTGATGGAGCGAGTGTTTCAGTTATCTGAATCTTTGTTGTGTGGTGGTCACATTTTTCTCAATATCTGCATTTACAAAATCAATAGCCTCAATGTAATGTTAGGGTAATTTGGACTTCCTATATGTATTGGTACTGAAACTAACTATCCACTGTAGCATACTTAGTTTTGATGGTGGTGATATGTTCTGAAACTTTTGTCCAATTAAGTTTCTGTTAAATTTCTGAAAACTGGATGGTGGTCATTTCAGTTAAGTTTCACTGCTCATTTCAGCTAAGTTTCTGAGTGTGCTTGCTTCGGTTAATTGATGATCTGTCTCTGCATGTGCTAATTTCACAAGAGAAAACGAATAGCATGTTTATGCATGTTTGTTTATTCCCTTGCCGTTTTTTTATAACAAACTGTTGTCTCCCATCAAAATGGCCACACAATGATATACAAATTGATATTCATGATTAATTTTGGCTACATGCAAAGCATTAAATTGCTTGTAGACGACGTATGACCAGTCTTTTTAATTGTCTTTATACCAGATTCTACTCTCTTAGAGACGATACTTAGTCTCTGGGTTGTACATGCCCTTATTATCCCACTCATCAATGGCCCATGACCATGGGAGCCCGCGAGGCCGAGATGCACAGTGGACCATGCGCATCGCTCAACATCCCAGTCCACATGGGCACGTATTCTCGATTGCATGCACGTACCGGTGCGGCGCCCATCCACATGGCATTGGCAGGCTACATCACCAAATCAATGGGGACGACGAAATGGCGCGTTACTTGTCCCCCTCGTTAGATGCAATGTTCCCTGTGCATCCTTGGACCGCACCTTCTCCTAGTGTTGGTTTCTCGTGTCATGTGGCTGCCAAATGGATATCCAGTGCAATTGCTACGTGCATTCAGTGCACGCAATCGAATCGAGCATGGGGCATTCGTGCTCGTTTGCACTGTTCGTGTGTGGCAGCTGCCATCGTCTCAACTTTCGGCAACGTCGTCGCTCTAGGAATTCCGTAGTCTCTTCTTTTTCGAATAAGTACTGTGCGTTTACAGTTTATACACGAGGGTGGTTCTGAATCGAAAACTAAAACGCGGCACTTGTATGTAGATGGAGAGGGAAAAAAGCTCAAATCTGACACCGACAGTATTTGCATCGGCTAAATAAAATCGAAGTTGTATAAGAGAAACAGGTTAGAAAGGTGCCAAATAGGTTAAAGCCTGAGCAATCTAATCTTGTTAGGAAGGCTACAGAGTGAAAGCTTCATATAGGATCAATCAGAGATTTGGCTGGATTTCACAATTTCTTTAGTTGCTTTTCTTCTTTCATTTCATTTGTATTCTTTCATCTCTTTCTTCCTATTGTATTTTACTATTTTATAATCTGCCCTAGTCATGTAGAATATAAAGAACAACATTTTATTCGATATTTTGTATTAGTTTAGCCCCTTTTTTTTTTTTGAGCTCGTTTGAATTTTGTGCAATATAGCGTGAAATTGTTTTTGTCTCTTCTTCTGAAACATCGAGAACCTGTGAAACAAGGAAAACATTTCTTATCGGCCTCCATTCCTTTAGGTTTGGCCTGGAACATGGCCCGTTTCACCTGAAATTATTTGGTCCGGATTGAAATTGGGACCGAGCCAGAATGGCTGTTCGGATAGGCCCGATCCAAACCAGGTTTCAGTCTAGGCCTTTTCACCCCTGCTCAGTTCGGGTTGGAGCCACACCTAGGAACACTTGGAATCAAACCAAACCAGGTTTCGTCAATCACCATGATCCACTCAATCCGGTCCAGGAAGAGTAATAGGCCTGTTTTCAACATGGAACAAACGTACGAGGCCTTAGTTACTACTAGTATAATGCCCTCTAACGCTGCTGACAAATCAAATAAAAAATATTTGTAAGAAAATATTTGTTTGCCAATCAACAAGATCTAAACTTGGTAAGAAAATATTTGTTTTTACATGTTTGGCGCCATATGCTTGGAAGAATAGAAGGTTATAAGCCAATAACCAATACAACTTTGTTTTCTTTTTTTTTTCATTTGGACTAACAAAATTGATAAGCTGGCTACACACGTGCATACTATAAAGCAAGGCTAAATCCACCATCGTCCTCAAGCTCAAAATACAACAACTGAAAAGAGAAGTGTCAACATACTTGTTCGATGCAATTACACAATATATCAAGTACTTGGTTCATTTCGTGGACGGCTTGTATTACTCTTTAAAAAAATCAATGTATCCTTTTTGTGGTTCTTTTTTTAGCGCAACTTTCAGTGATTCTACCAACTCATCTACTCCTTTTCTCTTTCCGTTTCCTTACTGACTGTCGGCGCTGAAATTTGAAGAGATATCAAATATTAGTAATTGAAATTAAAGCTGAAGTAAAAAAGCCAATATGTCAGGACAACATGCCGCCTGAAGAATTGCAAATAATATAACCGGTCAGGTTCAGGACTGAAATTTAGAAATGGAAGACCTGCTGCAAAAAAATATGGAAAGCATAATCTGGTGAGTTAACAAAAATCAAATTAGTTTTTGTACTTTAAAACAGTTTCTGGCCTCTATCTAGCATTACAGTTGATTCCAATATGTAATCCGAAACAACTTTAGGTAATTAGAGTTCAATCCAATAGCTAAACAGATAACTAAAACTCTGCAAACTGTATTTAAATAAGAATTAGGTCATAGTAACTACTTCTTGGAAATTTTAATTTGAGTCATTAATTGTAGTGTGGTTTCATGCACAGGCTGTAGAGACAAAAAAAGGGGGGGATTTGAGATTCGAGAACTTAACTGTGAGACCGCTTACAATCGGCACTTGATAGCCATGGAATCAACTGGCGGACCGGAGTGGGGTGAGCTCCCTAACAAACAATGTTGCTGCTGCATCCCTAACAAACAATTGTAGGCATGGCACTATAGCTGAGTATGAGCTCACGAAGGGTTAAAGCGTGGCCTAAAGATGAAGAAAAAAACTTTGATTTTGCAGCTAAGCAAAGTAATAAAGATCAACTTCGTAGTATAGTATATTTGCCCATGCTAACGCTACGGGCCACATTAAGTCCAAAGTTAATTCTATCAAATTTGAAGTACTTAATTAATTGTGCTTTGTTAAAGCTGTTTCACTGAAAGTCAACCATGTTACAGGGTACTAAAGATTAAAAAGATAAAATCAATTCAGGGTAGGAAATTGTAATTGACTTCAGAATATCAATCATCATTTGATCAACACTTTTGTAGCACAAAGGCATGTTTGCACATGGATTAATCACAAAAGTATCAGAATAGTACAAGTAGCATAGCATACCTAGTACCTAACAAGGTCAATCATCATATCATTTGGATATTCAACTTTTCGCAATCACAGTGTCCGATCAGAGTAGTGCAGCGGCAAAGCCACGACAAATCTGGACCGGAATTCTCTTCCCATATGCATCCTGCACTGATTTCATTCACACAATGACAGTAGAAGATAGAAGGGCCACTCACCAGATGGTTTATACGACGGGAACGTGACGTAGCGAGGGCAGTAGATTCTGCTGTTCGGTGCAGTGCCAGCCTCAAGCGTGCAATCACAAGGCTGCCATGAGATGCAAGGCAACCATGTTACAGGGCTCAGAGCAATCATGTTTCTACCTCGACAGTTATGTCTAGTATAGGTTTCTCTTAGTTCTGATGGTCCTTTCTTAGCTATTCCAGAAATTAGAGCCTACTCCACTCCTAATCAAAAGCTGAGCTCTTATTATACTCATCCTATATAGCAACATAAGTTTTGTTTTTTAGACGAGCTGCGGTATAAGTTTAGTTTCCTGCTTTATTTGACTTATTCAGATATTTAGAAACTGACATGACTGATATAAACTACCTACCTGATAATCCTTGTGGAAACAGAGCCTGAGTTCTTGAACTAAGCCGTTCTTACAGACAAGTGATGGCATTGCCCCAAATGCATACTCAATGACAGCAACAATATTGCCCCAAATGCATACTCAATGACAGCAACAACATGGCACCAACATTAAGATCTGCAACATAGCAAAATTAATCACACTGAGATGACATACTTGCAGTGGTTCAGACATCTCATTCTGAAAAAGTTTGAGAAGCTTGCACCTTATTTATGTTGAATTTGGTTGGTCTGCAGCATGATGGCCAGCCCCCGTAGTTGTACTGTGGCCAGAGACCAGCAGTACAGTACTTGGATGCAACTGTCTTGACCTATCTATTGCTTTGGGGCCGAAGTGCAACTGCACAATGCATAAACATGGCATCGTTTACAGTTGCAATGGAACACCAACACATTTCATTTCAGTGTCAAGAAGTTCAACACCAGTTTATGTATGATGGCAACCAAATCAGCTTGTTGAAACAACAAATCAGGCGGTAAACTATTTGGAGGCTGCTCACTGTTCCTGCTCAGCATGTTTTACGTTCATTTTCAGATGCAGCAAAATAAATAAATAAACACACCAGCATCTAGGGATTTAGGGATTCACCATCCAAAAAACAGAGAGGGCACCTGGGATTAATGATCATGGCAGTCACAGGTGGAGGAGGTACAGGTAGCCATGTAGAAGTCGTCGTCGTGCTTCTGGCGCTGCTGAGCATAGAGCGCGGCGGCGAGGGCCTCGGCGTCGGTGGTGTCAACGGCGTGGTCCGACTGCTCCTCACGAGCGTCCTGATCCTGATCCCCACGCGCGTCGTAGCGCGCCCGCTCCTCCTCCTCCTCCTCCCCGTCGCGGGTGCGGAGAAGGGGCCCACCACCGGAGCCGGAGTCCCCGGCGCGCGAGGTGGCCGAAAGGATCGCGGTGAGCAGCTCGTCCTGGTCGGTGGCCTCGCGCTCGAGTCGCTCAGCGCGGGCGCGCAGCTCGGCGGTGTCGGCCTCGGCGTCTGCGAGGCGCGCGCTGAGGGAGGCGGCCTCGTCCCCGGCGGCGGCGGCGCGATGGCCCGCGAAGATCTCGGCGGCGCAGTGGCCCGCGGGCGTTGGCGCGGTCGTCCACGCGGCGGCGCGCGCGGAGCTGCCGCAGCTGGTCCTCGGAGCGCCGGGGGAGGAGCGTCTTCGACTCCGTCCAATCGGAGGCCGCCGGAGCTGGAGAGCTAGTCGTCCGCGACGGCGAGGGATGGCTGGGTAGGCACGTGGCGCAGGAGCGCGGGGCGCGCGACGCGATGGGGGTGGGGGGAGAGAGGAGGAGTCGGAGTCACGCGTGGGGAAGAGAAGTCCGCGATTCCCGCGCGTGGTAGAGTGGGCGTCGTGGGAGAGGGAGAGTCGCGCGAGGGGCGAGCGCCTGGATGTGAGGAGTGACGAGGTTTGATCCAAGTTGATGAGACGTCGTATGATAAAGATTCAGGCCTCGTACGTTTTGGCACGGAACGGTCCAGAACGCGGCTTGATCCGCACGGATCGAGATGGCCCGATTTGAAGTCAGGTCGCATCAGGATTGGTCGTTCGGTTAGATATGGTCTCGATATTAAAATAGGTCAATTTTGGTCTTTCTTTCCCCTCTTTGGTCCAGGAATGGAGATGGACCCTCGTAGGTCCAGAACCAATCCTGGGCGTGGCGACATGAGCTGGCGTGACTCGAGCGGACGCGAGCGGCATGAGGCGACGGCGACCGCTTCTCATCGAACGTCCGCGCTCTCCGCCGCCTTCTCGCCGGTAAAGCATCGTCCTCGTCCATGCCCCCTTCTCTCCCCAGCGCTAGGGTTTTTGTTAGGGTTCTTGCCTCCTTGCGTTGGCGGTTCTTCAGGAACGCCGGGAGGTGGCCTAGGAGCGGGTGTGTGGTGAGGTCGTGGGTGGTGGGCATCTTCTTCTTCTTGGTTGTCAGGTGGTAGGAGATGTAGAGGAGGAGGAGCTACTGCTGCTGCTTAGTTTGCTGCTTGCTACTACTGCGGGATGGATGGATGAGTGATTATGTTGCTCTTGTATGGTGATCTAGCATAGCCGTAGGGGTTCTTGCTTGCCCAATTCCACATATCTGTACACATCTCCTCCGCCCCGTACTTTGCCCTGCAAGATTTCATATTATTCTCGTTAGGATCGAGCGATGCCATGTTGAACCTGAACCCAGAAACCAGCACCAGCAGCAGCCTATCACTAGACACAATCGAATCAATCAAAGAATGCAGCAGCGTAGTCCCGTGTCATCGACTGCCGCCGTGGGAGGGCTTAACATACACGCAGCATCCATCGAGGCTCCCCTCTTGTTGTTGGGGGACCGGGGGAGCACCAAAATACTAGGATTCAATCATCTTTGGCGTCGGCAATGAGCAGCTAGCGAGCGGATGTTATCACTCTGAACCTAAACCCAAAAACCAGCATTAGCAGCATACTTACTTCCATTTGAGCTCTTTCTCTGCCTTGGCAGTTGCCGCATACACGATCTCTGCGTCTCCAAGCCTTCGCCCAACAAACACCAGATGGATTTTCTGAATAGACAGAATCAGGCAGTTAGTCAATCAGTTAGTAGCCAGGAATCAATGTATAATAATAACTGAACATCATTCAGTAAAGGCATGCATGCATGATGGTTTATATAAATAAATTTTTTACCAAGCACTTTGGAATCCGTCGCTTGGTTATACTGTATCTATTTTTTACTCCTACCTTACTAGCTTGTTTTCCCAAGCACTTTGCAGAGCCAGAGCTTGCTGTCATTTTTAATTTTCAGTGTACTGGGAAGATCAGTTCATGTGGCAATTAGCAGCTATTTCAGCGTTGGTTGTCCAGACCTATCCCTGCATGGTGATGGAGTAATCAACTCTGATTGAACCTCCGCCTTCTTGGGATCCAGTACCAACTCCAGAAGGTACTCCAGAAGCTTCTATATGACTATAAGTTTATATATGCTTCTATATGACTATCATCTTTATTACAGTTTCAATATGACATGGTCAATAATATTTAGCTTCTATATGACATGGTCAATATTATTTAGCATCTATATGACTCAGTTCCTTTTTCAGGAACCAAATGATCCTTCCATTCTCAAAAAAAGATTCAGGAATAAACTCATCCATTATTTAATCCATGGCCCAACCAGATGATCCTTTGTTTGAGTTTTTTTATTCGGCTTTTTGTTTGGTGGGTAAGAATCTCGTTTAGGTCTGTAGGCTCTGTTCTGTGTCTTGCAGACAAAATTTTCAATTTATGTGTTGGTGCTTTCTTAGTTTCTTGCAGACTAAATTGAGCTTCTTCTTTTGTTTTAAAGGCTTATGAGTTGTTATTATCCTTTGTTTTTAAGAAGAAAGGTAGGACATCTTTAGCCTTGCAATTCATTCGTTGGGTTTAGTAGAGTCTGTAGCTTGGTCATTTATTTCTGTACCTTTAGTTTTCTGAAGCTATATAATAGTGCTGCTGCTCTGGTTCAAAACATGCTGCATTAGACATTTGATAATTGTGTTGGCATTTTTCTGTGAACCATATATATAAACTTAGACCAAGTTATAAAGAATCGTGTTTATGAACACCCTATGACTGACAACATGCATTAGGCATTATAAACAAACTCAACATAGGTGTTTTTCTGCGGGTCATTGATTGATGACCGCCGGTTTTAGCAGCTTATGGATTTAGTCATCATCATCCAAACACAGAAAAACACCATTGATTTTGGTTGTTGCCACCTTTTTTATTTTTGTGTGGGGTCAAAGGAGAAGGCTTTTAATCTGTGGGAAAGCCTCTGTCATCATGGTGTAGGTTTTAGATAGAGAAGTGAGAAGATCACAAATAGATGTATAAGAAGAGCCATAGAACTGTCACACTAGATCTTTGAGGTTTGGCAACAATAGGAGATCTGTATGTAAACGTAGGTCATCAGTGTCCATGGCAAGCAAGAGATGTCCTGCTGTATATTCAGATAAGAGTAATTTTATATTGCAGTAAGCAAGTTGACACAAGCCGAGCAATGTTTGAATAATTTAGAGTGAATGTTGTAATTAATTTCAGAAGTCACGCGAGACTCAACCCTTCTACAACTTACCATTTCCTTCTTCTTTTTTTGCAGACGTGCAACCAATATTTGCTGTGATGACGTGACAAAACTAGTGAAAGAACTGAAGACATGGGGCCAATTCTTTTCCAATGTTTGTTCAGGTGCTAGTTTCAGAGGTCTCTTATGTAAAGACTCGTAGCTGGGTATTTATTTTCAGTTTGTTTGGGAGTATACGACGAAGATTCAATTATGTTCGTATGTGTCGGTGCGAAAAGTGACCAACACGTAAGTATTTGTAGTTTTACCGTACGTTGTGATCGGATGTAGCCTAGCACTCAATGACATAGGGTTTATACTGGTTCAGTAACATGCCCTACGTCCAGTTTGAGTCGGTCCGGTGACTTTATTCCTGAGCCCAGGTGCTCGAAGTTTGCTGTGGGGTTACAAACGAGAGGGAGTAAGATGGGGGGTATCAGAGGTCCGGTCGGACTCCGGACGGAAGGGCCAAGAGTGACGGGAGCTCCAACGTGCGCTAAGTGTTCGAACGTATGCTTTGTTTGGCTTTAGAGTTCTAGAGCCAAGCAGAGAGATCGGAGTGATCCGTCTGTTGTTCGTTGGAATCGTCCTCTTTTTAGAGAGAGCGCATCCCCTTTTATAGATAAAGGGGACGACTTTACAAGAGAGAGTGTGTGAGAGAGTGTGTGCTAGCTAGTCTTGTTGCCCACACCATTGGGTACGAGATGGGTTGTCGGCATCTACAATACTGTTGACGCCCTGATGCATGTGGTTGGTTCCATCGTGTTCTTTCTGGTATGGCCAATGTCGGCACCTACCATACTATAGGGCAAATGTCGACGCCCATAACACTATTTGTGTTCTGGCACGTCTGGAAGGTTGCGGTGCACCCTTCTGACATGAGCTAACAGTACTGTCCCGCAGGTGTGCAGGGTACGGTCCTCGATATTGTGGTTTGACTTCGGCGCCTTGCCTTACTTGCTCCGTCTGACTCTTTGAGTCCTTACCGAGCGGACGTCCCCGTTCGGTTGTTTCTCAGTTGGCTGCGACCGCGACGGTCGGAGAAGAGCTGTAAGCAGAGGTTTGGTGTCCTTCCGGTCGGAGAGGCGAATCGGAGTCGGAAGCGAGCGTCGTTCCTCCTTGGCCAGGCCTTCCGGTCGGAGAGGCGGGTCGGAGTCGGAAGCGAGTGTCGTTCCTCCTTAGCCAGACCTTCCGGTCGAAAACTGGATCGCCCTTCCAGCCTGTCGTTGGGCATCTAGGCCGGCCCAGGAGTTGCGCGTTGTTCGCAACGTCGTCTGCTGGGTCGAGCTTTTGCTGTGAAGCAGGTCCATTAGGGACCCCGGGTTTTATGAACCCGACAGTATGTTTATGTAATGAACATGCATGTGAAATCAAGCCAGTTCGAAAGTCAACTACACTGATGTGCAATGTTTGTGTGAACTTGCAAGACGTGTGCAATGTTTGGTATATCAGCGATCCATTCTAGGATGCATTAACGTTGATGAATGATTGATGCTGAGGTGAAGAAGATTTTATTACTGCAGAAAGGAACGAATCCTAATCTAAAATTGAATCCAACAGGATTAAATGAACCGACCGGATTCACGTTCAGGATGGGATTGAAACCCTTGCTGCCGAACGGACCCTCAACCAGTCTACTGTGGTGGTGGAGAAGTGCGGCAGGAGCGATAACGGAAGGACGGAGAGAGACAAGGGTAGGAGAGAAGAACAATTTTTTTTTCCCCATGCGACTGGCTCCCATGCATAGGACCTGGTTCCCTGTTTTTTCCTATAGGACCAATGGTCACAGTGTAACGATCCGGCTCCATGGAGTATAGAACCGGGTAAGGTTTCCTATAGGACCAATGATCACAGTGTAACGATCCGGCTCCATGGAGTATAGAACCGGGTAAGGATCGTCCACTGCGGAGGCTCAGAGAAACTAGAAGCTAGGTGCGATCTCGTCCATTCGTTCACTCATGAGAGTTCATAACTGTGTTGGATATTTTTTGGTGTGCCATTAGAAAAGTTTACATCAGTGTATTACATGTGGTAGACAGTAGAGATACCACGAAGGAGGAGGAGCTCAAAGAAGTCCTCCAAATAAGATGAGTCATTTTGATCCATCTCTTCGGCAATATGTCAGGTAAAGGCCCATTCTTTGGTTAGCTAAGAAAACGTTCATTTTTTCCCTCCTGAAGGCCCTGAAGCTCCAAGCAGGTAGCAGGTGGAGAGTGTTACGGAGTATCATGGAAGCGCTTGTCCTAATTCTTTACTCCTACCTCGAACGAGGAAAAGAGAAAAACAAGATGATGAGGATCGTGTGATCGATCCAGACGTGGATAGGAAGGAGAAGCAAAGGGCACTCAAGTCTGAAGAGAGACGGGGTTCAGCTGCTTTCTGTGATTACAACTTAACGACTGCAAGACGGGCGATGATGATACTCCTCCATATGCGTCTGGGCGTCGGGCCTATGATTGGAGTATACGAGTAGTACTCCTCCCGTCCTACGGTACTAGCAGTATGCAACTCGGACATGGCAGAATGGCACGCACGCCGAAGATGTCAGAGAATCGGTGTCAGAACGCGTGCCGGCGCAAGCCACCCCCACCGGGTCCGATTCCGATTCACGAGCTCACGGCCGTCAGGTCAGTCCAACAGCACCACTTCTGCATACGGCCAAACGATGAAATGGACCTGACCAGTGACCAGACACCTGCCTTGTGTTTATATTCATTCGACCAAATCTCCGTGACTGAATGACGCTGTAACTGCCGGATTAATTTTACTGCCTCCAACAAGAGTGAGTGAGCCATGGAACCTGCCGGGCTTATCATAGTGGGTGATAAAATTAAAATATATTGTTACTCAATCCGTCTCAAAATAAGCATCGCTACGATATCTATACCGGTAATTTTTTAAGTTTAACTAGATTTATAAAAAAAAATAGTAACAGATTAATTTATTATAAAAATAGGTTTAACCATCTATCTAATGATATTAATTATTATATATTGTAGTAAATTTTAAAATTTTCTTGTACATATATTTGGTCAAAATTAAAAATATTTGACTACTAACGACACTTATTTTAGAATGGAGAGGGAGTATTGCTGTCGAGGACCAATACTAGGGTACCCGAAGAGGATGAGCTAATGGTCATTAACATTGATTCATCCGAGCAGTCAAGAGCGCGACTACAGCTCCAACCGACCCCAGGCGCGCAGGCTCCGCCTCGCCCGACCTCTGAGGAAGGGCTCCGCCTCGCCCGACCTATGATGGAGGGCTCCGCCTCGCCCGACCCCGAGGCCGCGGGCTCCATCTCGCCCGACCTCTAGGAGCGGGTTCCGCCTCGCCTGATCTCGAGGTCACGATCTCCGCCTCGCCCGACCCCGTGGGTGCAGGCTCCGTCTCGCCCGACCCCTCGGGTTCACACTCCGTCTCGCCCGACGAAGACCCATACCGCCGCCAACGACTCCAGGTTCAAGCGTATGGACCTGGGTCAAGACTATGGCATCAGGGAAGAAACGGGCACGCCTCGATGTAACCCGTGGCCATGACGGGCCATACCAGAGGGTTCACATCAAGAACAGCGTCGGGCGTGCCGGTGCTGTTCTGCCTAACCCTCGTACGAACGGTGACAGGCGCGTCAGTTCACCACGACGTCCGCCAGGACGGGATAGAATGCCATGACCGGCAGATGACGTCTGCGCGTGGCGCCAGTGATGGACAGGGCCACGATGTGGAGCTGTCCCTGTTGACATCTACAGGGTCGGCGGGACCCGCATGAAGGAGGAGGACCCGGCGATCCTGGAAGCTTTCCTCTCTCTCGTTCTTCTCCTTTTCCTTCGTTGTAACCCGTGCTTTCTCTTGGCCTATAAAAGAGAATGTAGGGCGTCCCCTGAAGGGGGACCGATCAAATCACCCCGAACCGATCAGAACATGAGATAAACACACAAGAACACGACACGAACACACGGCCAAGCAGCGATCGAGCTCTCAGCACCCGTTCACTCTTTCCACCAGAGAGTTGGAATCATTTTCCTCTCTCGCCTGTTTGTAACCCCTACTATAAACTTTCGGTGCTAGTAATACGAGCAACAGCGACGAACTGGACGTAGGGACTTTCTGCCTGAACCAGTATAAACCTCGTGTCTCCTAAGCACACCATCCGAGCCAGACGCGCAATATTAGAAATTTACTCGTTGGTGGTAACTCGAAACACCGACAGTTGGCGCGCATTGGCACCACGCTTTCCTCCGAATAGGAAAGTGCGCTCATCATAAAAATAATATTTTTAATGAGCCAGACGTTTTCTTAGCTAACCAAAGAATGGGCCTTTACCATCCCCCAAACACACAGTAATTTTTTTATTACCTATAAATATTTCAATTACATAGCCACAAAAATAATTGTTTCACCTATTTTTAATGATAATCTTGTGTATTTTTTTTCAAGGAATACCAAATACATATATAAAAGTATTGAAAAGCTATTGAGATATCATGTTGTATATATTTATCATATTTATGAGGTGTCCTCATGTTGCGCGGCCCCCTTAATCTAAAGTCCTGGTTCTACCACTGATTCTACTCAAATTTACATATCTGGTAATGCCACTCGCCCACTCCCGCTCATGCTATAGCACACGAGAAACAGCGTTGTTCCTCGTAGGAGAAGCAAATATTCGTTCCCAGTCAATTCGAAGCAAATGCTCATGGTTTGGTCTTGGTCATGAAACTAGTCTTTTGTCTCCGTCCGTGCGGTGCACTTGTAGTTCTTTTTGGAAACATGTAGTACTGCTGGCACTGTTTGCCGAACTAAACATTCGTTTCTCAACTAATCACACGCTTCCTTTCACTTCAATCAATAACTTCATATCTCGAGTCACCGGTGCTTGATTGTTGCACGTATAAGAAGGAATGAACATTTTCCCAGGGCATTCTCATCTACTCCCTCGGTCCCTCCATCACAATAAAAACAAAAATAAAAATACCACTTGTCGAGAAGTCAAACAAGTATAATTTTAACTAGACCAATAGAAAATAATATCACTATTTGGGTCCTCAAATAAATTTATTATAAAAATATATCTTATGATTAATCTAGAAATACTCATTACACATCATAAATATTACACATGATGACTCGAAATTATTTGACTCCTTAGAAAACGAGACTTTTATTCTTTTTATTAGTACGGAGAGAGTATATTATTTCTTTTATTTCTTCTAGCAGAGGAGTCTTGAAGCTCCGCATATAGCAACATGTACTATAAAGGTGAGGAAATCGCAAAGGCATGGTTCCAAACCACAAAGGAACGCTTACATCCTTGTTGGTGAGGAAATCACAGAGACATACGTTTCTTTCAACCCTATTGTTTTCTCAAGCGATTCACAAAAATCGAGCTTGAGGATTCTTGCTAGATACGTTGAGGTGATACAAAACTTACTGGAGCACTCCACAAGACTTGGTGCTTCGATAGACAACTTCTTCATGTCTAGGATCAATGAATCCAAAAGTAAAAAAAAAAACTCAAATCCATGCCTTAGAAAGAGTCCCCAAATGCTCAAGAGATGTTATTGTGCAAGCAGAGCCTAGAATTTCGGCACAAAGACAGCTCAACGTGCCATAGACCATGCTTATGATACGTGCCGGCATAGCTCAACATGCCTCGTGTGACTAGAAGTTATGGCCTGAAGCAATACAAAACACGAGAGGGTCGGGCATGGCCATGGCGGAACCGCCCAAGTCCCACCCAAACCAACACACACACCCAACACATACGAGACATGTTTGTCTTCATCCTTTCAGTCGTTTGGATATCGCTAATTAAGGCTATCACTTACTTTATACTCGGCCAAGTTTTAAGGGCACGTTTGGTTCATGCCCTCTCAGACACATCCTACACCGGCAAGTATATCTCAGCTCCAGGCACTTAAAATTCAACGTCTCGAAGAGCTTCTTGTGCCAAGCAAATTTAATTTGCCTGGGAGAGCAAACCAAACATGCCCTAACTAGGAAACTAGGGTGCAAGATACCTAGCTTCGAATCCATGAAAAATTAAGGAGCTTTCACAAAGGAAGAGTCCATACCGATAGCTATGGGTTATTAGCAACAATCTTAATCTAGTAGTCCAAGGCATGCTTCATGATCATGTAACTAGTTTTCTGTCCGTGCACTTGTACCACAGTACTGATCGTCAAACTAATCTCATTTCTCAACGAATCATATCAAGTCACCGGTGTCCTTGATTGCTGCGTCTAGCGGCCGGTCTAGCGAAATTTTGCTAGGGTAGCCCTGCTCTCTAGCTCATTTCTTTTGATTTTTTCTACCTACTGTAGTGTAGGTGTAGTATAGTAGGCGAATCTTGATGCTCAGCGTAGCTACATGTGCTAAAGATGGTTCAGCCGTTCTAGATAAATTGCCGAATTGGTTGCTGGCTGCATTCCAAAGTTTGCTTGTTTTTTACCCCTTGTTTGGTCTGGGATGCCCCTTGGGTGAATGGTCCTCTTGGCCATTGCTCTACAATATTCCTGTGTGTTATAGAACCGATGCCATCATCTCAAGTTCTCGTGCACCACCTCATTGTCACTTGCATAGTTGCATTGCATCATGTACCATGATGCCGTCCGTTAGGGTCCCAGTGGCACGATGAAGGCTCGCAAAACATGTCTGGACCAAATGCGAAGGTCGAGGCAAAGGTAAAAGCTTCGTTATACGTACGAGGACCAAATAAAGGACCACCCTCTGTGTACACGAGGAGCTCCGTCTTCAGATGTCGATTGCCGAGTGAGAACTCACCAAAATTTATATATGATGACTTGTTTGGAACAATACAAGATTTCTCATTAATAATAACTAAACAAGGCGAAAAGAAGGCTGCATATATTGCTGTGTACCAGATCGACGAGGCGAAGAATTTGCCATGTATAGGCAAGAAAGTTCAACGCCTTGAAGATCTCATGACACACACAGTCCCTGAACTCATGCACACTCCAAGCCGTGCAGCTGGCCCGTTGGGTCACAGGACTTTGTACGAGCTTTACCAGATGCATGCCCCGATGAGAGAACAAAGGCAAAGGCACCGGCCGCCATGAGTCGTCGGGTCGACCACATCGCCGTCACAGCACCACAACCAACTGCCCCGCCAGCAACTGCCTATAAACCCTTTAACGCCCTCCACCAGTGGTGTCCACCACCACGACACCTCGCCTTGCCCACACCCGGCCACGCCTCTGCCGGAGCGGGCGGGGCCGGCGATATAATGGACCTCGACGCCGACATGATCCCGACCTCCCCCTCCGCCGACTCCTCGCTCTCCTCCTCCGACCTCGACACCGAGGTAGTAGCTATACTCACCCTCGTCCAGGTTCTTGGGTCTCATCTTCTTGGCTACCTGGACGGTCAATCGCATTCCTCTTGTGTTTCTCGAATCTAGCTTAGCTTGACTTGGTGTATGTGGATAACGTTTCGCTTCTTGTGGGGGGGCAGTCGACGGGGTCCTTCTTCCCGGACCGGAGCACGACGCTGGGCACACTGATGGGCGTGTCAGCGTTCGGCGAGCGGCGGGCAGCGAGGGCGCCGGCGGCGGCGGGCGAGGATACGGCGGAGGGAGAGCAGCGCGCGGCGCCGGACAGGGAGGAGGCGAGGAGCGGCGTGGACGTGTGGCGGCGCCGTCGGAGTCGGCGGCGGCGGCACGGCCGCGGGCGCAGCAGCCTGGGCGGGAGCTGGTGGCGGCTGTGCCGTGACCACGGCGACGGCGGCGGGCCGCCGACGTCGCTGGGCGAGATCCTGGACATGGAGCGGCAGCTCGCGGGCGCGAACTTCCTCTGCGACGACGGCGGCACCGGCGCCTCGGGGCGCGAGACGGCCGTGGCCGCCACGGCGCTGTTCGAGGACGGCAGAGTGCGGCCTCCGCAGCAGCCCGCGGAGGAGAGGGGCAGGTGGCGGCTGCTGCGGGCGTCGGAAGGCTCGTCCTCGACGACGACGTCGTCCCTGGCGCGGCTGCCAGTGCTGCTCACCGGCATCTGCAGCGGCGGAGCGGGGTAACAGAACAACCCAAAGTCCCAAACCAATGGCTCTTGCAAATTACAATTGAAGTGGCTTTGGAGCAGTGGAGTTGACGCTTCTTTAATCAAGCCCCTTTGTCCCCCTTCTTTTTTTTCTTCTTCTTCTCTTGCCATGCTCTAATTATTCCACTTTGGTCCTTTTTGCCATATGATGTTCCATTTGATGATGTTCCTTCTCTCTTGTTCTCTCCCCTTTTGCTCTTCTATCTACTAATCTTCTATGCATAGAAAAGAATCAAGAGCGGGATATAAAACCCTGCTATCTGATTTGGATTTACTTCTAATCAGCGATCAGTTTTTGACAACGTACGTATTCTGCAGCTCTACTGTATTTCATGGCAACCATTCCCCTTGCAATGTGCAACGGACAAAGTTGTGCTGTTCGTATACACATTTCGTGCTGGTACACCGTAAGCATCCCGGGCCCAGTACCGTCGGTACTCGAGGCGTTTTTGTCCAGGCGCTGCGGCACGATTCGACGGCACTCGCACTCGCACGGCAGCTGAAAGATACGCACGCGAACGCGACACACACCTGCAGGACTGCACGGGTTCACCGGTCCCAGTCTGAGCTCGATAGCCCGCCCCACCCACCCCTCCTCGCTCATCGATTCTATACATACTCCCTCGGACGTTTTTTACTTTTAGATTTAGATATCTTATTCGACGGTTTGTCTTATTCAAAAAAAAATATATAAATATCAACTATTTTGTTATGACTTATTATATTATTAGAGATATTTTAATAATAATTTTTATTTATTTTATATTTTACATAATTTTTTTAATAAAACAAACAGTCAAATAAGATATCTGGAAGTCAAAAACGTTAGATGAAGGAAGTATATACACAAGGAGAAAACATGCGGATACCTACGGCATCTGTGGCGGCTCCGCCTCTGGTGCCGGAGATCGGAGTCCACGGCGCCGAGGACGGTTCCGATCGGCAGTTATTTAATTTATGTAATAGATGTACTCCCTCAATCCCAAAATAAATGCATGTCTTGTTTTTCGAGAAGTATTTTTTTTTCAAGTTTGATTAAAAATATAGAAAATAATATCATATTTGTATCTTTAAATAAGTTTATTAAGAAAGTATACTCCATGCTCGATCTAATGATGCTTATTATACATAAAAATATTAGTGTATTTTTGTAGTATAAATTTGGTTAAACTTTAAAAAATTTGACTCCTCGAGAAGCGAGATGTGTATTTATTTTAGGATGGAGGAAGTACTTGTTTTTTAAAATCACTTTTCTATGATCCAAAGTAGAATAATCACATTAAATCTATGTGGATATGTATGGATATCAACATTATCCATATTCATATAGGATAATACACTTCTCTAAACCCAGCTATAAGTATATTATTTTCATTTAGTTTGAGACTAGTATAGTAGTTGACGTAAGTTATTTTTAAGTACTTTGTGGATCGTTTTTTATTGATGTAAACTATAATGTTCTTTAATTAATTTATGGTGGAAGAGAGTGTGGAAGTTGCAGACACCACTGCAACTAGGAGACTGGAAGGCGCGTGACATTGGACCTTAAGGTTCTGTTTTGTAGAGATCTTTGGGCGGCTCTTACTTCGATTTCTTCTTGCACTGTAAATGAGTTGTTTTTCTTTTCTCTTAAAATAAATTAGGAGCCGGTGAAGTCGCTTTTTTTTTCTTCACCAGCTCTGGTTTCCCTGCGGACTGTAGCAAGGATCCAAAAATATCTAGAGCCATGCCAAAAAGGACCTAAGTCAAGTGAGTACATCCTTGTGCATGGAATAAGCGGAGAATGCGATTCATCAATCCATAGGTTGTTGCCCCCCCAAGGTCCTTGCCCTGAGTCTCCAACCATTGCCTTTTTAGCCATTCTCCATGTCTAACGCCCTGTGCTTGCGATCAATCACCCTAAACACTACAACACCCATAATGATGCAGTAGTGTTGTTCCAATAATTGTGATGTGCAAAACTATTTGCTATTATACTATCATGGTGGTAACGCCAGCTTGTATATATTTTTTTTAGATAATGGAAAAAAACACTGGGGCTTTTGATCTCTTTTTGTAAAGAGGCCTCAAAACCGTTTATTTATTTGGAATTTGAAATGATAAATAAAAAATCACTCCCTCCATTCTAAACTATAAAACGTTCTTTTTTAATGCATTGTTTTTACTTATATATCTAGACATAGTATATCTAAATGCACCAGAAAAATCAAAACGTCTTGTAATTTTGGAATGAAGAAAGTACATGACCGTCTGTACTCTGGCAACTTGTATGAGTTCACCATGAGATAACAAGCCAACTTATGATTGTGAGTAGAATAATCAGAATATCCCTTATGGGTCCCATGGGATAGTGACATAGTGTAAGCAATACCATGAAGCCCCGAGGGACACGATCGTACGATCTACGATGTATCTGGCGAAACGATGTTTTTCTTTCATAATAACTCAGCTAGAACAGTATTTTTCAACCAGTTTCAACCAAAATTTAGCAAGCCGAATGGGACCTAATGTTTGTGCTGGTCTTATCGGGTTTTAGGCTCACTTTTCCACTCGAATGTTTGTGCTGGTCTATCCTGCTTTATTCTTCTGCAAACCTGGGCTTTCTAGTTTGTGAAGTTATCGTGGGGCAAGGGTTTGGGACTTTGGGGTTGGAAGAGGGCCTTGACAATCTGATGTGTGCGCCGTGATGTAGTCGTATATGGACGTATCTCGCGTGATTGGCGCCTCTCACTTGCGGGTTGGCCGAGCCATTCGCTCTGTTCGTTTGGTTTATAAGCCGTACTTTTTTAGTCAACGAACAGTATTTTTCTCTCATAATAAACCAGCCAACAATACTTTCAGCCATAGCTTATCAGCCAAGCGAACAGGGCAATCAGCGGCGGGTGTTACTCCGTGCTCTGCTCAATCTACTTGCCAGAAACGCGAGTGCAGTACAGGGGTGCAGCAGCTGCTGGTGTGATGTGGTGTGGACCTTATGGAGCAGGGTGTATTTGTTGGGGCCTTGGGGGCCAGCCGGCCGGCTGGGTGGCTGCCTCCCAGGCTGGCTCGTGGCTCCCGGCGAAACTGGCCTTCTCTCCCGTCATTCGAGGAGAGCAGAGGAAGCCAAGTTACTTTGGCCCGGGGCAGTCCCTTGCCTTGCTCTTTTGGGTGGGTGCTCATGCCTGCCTGCCACCACGCGAAATGATGGGCAGCCCTGTTGTCCGAGATGCAGCCGCTTGTTTGAAGCAAGCTTTGGATTCCAGCAAGGACACCGCCAAAGCCGGAAAGAGACCATGCATGTCCAGTCCTGTTGTCCAGCACTGCTTTTCAACGATCGAACAATATTTTTCTCTCACAATAAATCAACATATGCATCGGTTTAAACAAAATTTCAGCGAAATGAAGAGGGCCGAACTCTAGCAGTGGAAAGGGAGATGCGCGCTTCCGTGTACACGAGCTGAAACTCTGAAATCAGGGCGATTTCAGAATACTGCCTCACTTCATTTCATGGGCAGGCGGTTTCATCTTAGCATACTAACAGCTTACTTGATTCCAAACAAAGATAGGTAATAGGTGTCAAGTGTCATCACACCTGGGCATAGTACTATTACAACACACGAGGACCAATCCTCGTTCCTGCCATTTTTTACAGGAATGGATCGGCACACGACATGCTACCAAATAACCAATACAGCAAAATAGCAACGGACGAATCAGCCCACAGAAGCGAAATAGAGGGGGCTGTACTACTACAACAACACCTAGACGCATATACTAGCTGATAGCTGAGGCCTGCTGAAGGTCCACCAATACCGAGATAGAAGGCCGGCCCGTTCAGTGCTGCGCTGGGTCGGGGTGCTGGGAGAAGTAGGCGAGCAGGCCGAGCAGCGGCGCGTTGATGTACGTGGTGGGCTCCGACTGCTGGAACACGGCGCGCGCGTCCGGGAACGCGTCGGTGCTGTTGCTGGGCCCGCCCACCACGGCGCCCACCAGCAGGTTCGGGTTGGGCGCCGGGCTGGCGTAGTAGGCCGCGCCCGCCTTGCACCCGATCCGCGCCGGGTGGGCCGCCACCGACGGCAGCGAGCTGGCCCGGTGGTGGATCCGCAGCGGGTACCGCGGCCCGTACCCCACCATGTACGACATCCGCAGCGGGTTGTCCCCCAGGATGTAGTCCACCTGCCGCTTGGCGACGCGGCGGAGCTGGACGGGCGACGCCGAGGACGCGCCGCCGCCGCCGCAGGAGACGCGGGCGTCGGCGTGGCTGAGGTAGTTGGAGTAGGCGAGGAGCAGGAAGGAGAGCGACGTCACGTGCTGCATGTTGCTGTTGCCCACCTTGAAGAGGAGGCCGCCTGCAGCAGCCATGGAGATGGAGTCGACACGTTCAGCCATGGTTGCAAGAAACAGTGGTGAGTGAGTGGGTTGGCCTGCAGCAGCGGATGTACCTGGGGAGTACTGGATCTGAGGGTGGCCGGAGATGCCCGGTAGGAGGCTGCAGATGAAGTTGTCGGCGTTCTCACGGAACGACCGGAAGTACTCGTCCTTGCCCATCAGTACCTCCTGGAAAAAAGGATAATGATCGTCGCGTGGATTATTAGTTCAGCAATTGGGCAATCAAAGTGTGGGTTAAATTATGCTACGTAATGGCTTTTGTGTCGGAATTAGTAACATGTACAGTAATGCAATTATGCAAAGGGAACAGGAATCCCGTGACCCATCAGCAGCATAAGTGCCCTGTGTCTCTTCTCTGGTAAGACGTGCAAGACCCAGCAGAGACCGACCAGCTTTAGGAGCAAGAGTCCGGGTCACTGATGCCACGATCATGCTTCCTCACATGCATCGAGATCCACTCCTAATATGACAAAAGGCTGCAGCGGTAACGATAAGATAATACGTTTATTAATCTGCCCAGACAGAATATTGGTCTCATCATGCTTCAGATATACTAATCCACTTCCATAGTACACACTGCGCTGTGGCATGGCATGTTCGTTAATCACTCCATAATTGTTGCCGTGACCGCTGACACGTAAAGATTAGTGAATCCTAGCATGTGCCAACGTGTACAATGGCATATCAGGATTCCCAAGACCAGGCGCATGATTAGGAGGATAAACCATCAACAGATTCAAGACAGTAGGAATCTAATCGCGTTCACAGGCTGAACAGAGGAGCCTGATAAGGCTAAGCCAAGTGCAGATCTAACCACATTGGACTGGGAACAATTCTTTTGTTCGCTTGAGCTACTTTTCAGTCATAAAAGAGTGTTTTACTTTCACAACAGCATAAGCTGAATTTCAGCATAAGCCAACAAAGTGAGTCTGGTCCCACGCACCTGTTCTAAGCATCATTAGCAGTACATGCAGGACAAGGTAGAGACAAATGCAAAGATGTTTATAGACAGTAGACACGAGGGCAGGGAATATCTCAAAAGAGGAAGACGTGACATGCGACACTTGCTGATGCGTGCTGCTACACCATACTACGCCCCCAGCACCAGCAGCATGTAGGCTGTGTTTAGTTGTACCAATTTGAAATTTGGGGCTACTATAGCATGTTCGTTTTTATTTAACAAATAGTGTTCAAACATGGATTAATTAGGCTTAAAACGTTCGTCTCGTTATTTCTCACCAAACTGTACAATTAATTTTTTTTCGTCTACATTTAATCTTTCACGAATGTAATTCACAAACATTCGATGTGATGCGATCAGAAGACTTTTTTTTTTTTTTTTGAAGTTGGTGCTGAACTAATCACGCGCGTAGTACGTATCAACGTGATCTCGGTCAGCCAGCCGGTCCCACAGGTGTGGGCGTGTGGCGGGCGTGAAAAAGGTTCCAAGTTACCGGTTGTTTTTTTTTTCTGATTTAGACAGGACGGTACTAGTTTACCGTGAAAAGAAAATATTATTGACGGTTGATTAAGTCTGGCTGGAAAAAAAAAAAGCGAACAAGTTGTCTTGAACTAACTAAGGCCGTATTTAGATTGACGTTTGGAATCAGTAGTTGGTACTTAAGCACTTTCATCTGTATTTGATAATTATTGTTTAATCATGACCTAACTAGGTTCAAAAGATTCGTCTCGTAATTTACAATCAAACTATATAATCATATATCCAAAGATTTAATATGATAAAAAAAATGTGAAAAAACTTACAATCTAAAGAAGGCCTAACCAAGGATTACTGAGCACGGCCGCCCGTATGGCGCGAACACGACGCGTCAAAACTAGCATGCCGTTGCCAGACGAGTCGATGGCCTCTGGCAGCCAGTGTTAAACTCGGGCTAAGTTTTTTCACTTTCTCTACCACATTAATTTTTAGACGTATGTATAGAGCATTAAATGTAGATAAAAAAATAACTAATTATATAGTTTAGTTGTAAATTACGAGATAGATCTTTTAAACCTAATTAGTCCATAATCAAACAAAATTTATCAAATACAAATAAAACGTGTTACGTGTCAAAATTTGCAATCTAATCCAGACCTCGCAGGGCAGAGGGGCTGGTCCACCGAAAAGCAGGTAGCGAGGCGTCAGAGGAGCATGTGCGCGCCGCGCTCGACGACGCCACGCGACTCCAGAGTCAAGGCCATGTTTACTTCACCCCAAATCTAAACTTTAGCACTACCAAAAAAAAAAAAAAAAGATTTCCACATACATAAAGTACTAAATGTTGATGAAATTTAAAACTAATTGCATAATTTAATTATGCTTTACGAGACGAACGTTTTGACCATAATTAATCAACGATTGAACAATTATTATCAAAATCAAACGAAATGCTAGAGTGTTCTAAAGTAGCTACGGGATTTCAGGCGGCGGCTCTGGGGGCAACTAAACGCGCCCCAAAGCCGAGGCAGAGGCAGCGCAGTGCAGAACGCAGGCCGATGCTACCACGGGACGGGAGCAGGAGCCGAGCAGACAGGCATTCCGGCCTTCCTGGACGGCTGGACCCCTAGCAATGCGCAATCCTAGGCTATGCTCCAACTTGTGGACTAGTACGAGTAGTACTCGTGCTCCAGTACAGGTGCATCATTGTGCAAACGCAAAAACGCATCGTGAAAATGTGCAAAATGGTGAACATTACAGTTACAAGCAGTGTCCAGTTACGTACCTTGGAGATGAGGACGTTGATGCCGGCGTGCTTGTTATCCCACCCAAACTCGTTGATGGAGACGCTGGCGCCGAGCGCCACCTCATTCCTCTTAATGTACTCGCGGTACTCCCGGCGGCGCGACGCCCTGTGCAGCCAGGCGGCGCCCCACAGCAGCTCGTCCTGGTACCCGTCGTAGTCGCAGTAGCAAGGGCACACCGCGTCGCGGAGGCTACCGCTATACGCGCCGCGGTGCGCGTTCGCGAACTCGAACACCTGCACGGCGCGGTCCAGGAGCGCGCGCGCGTACCCGGGGTCGCCGGCGTCGCGGAACACGATGGAGGCCGCCGCCAGCGCCGCCGCCGTCTCGGCGGCGACGTCGGACCCCGGGTGCGCCGCGTCCACCTTGTAGACGGTGCGCGGGGTGTCCATGTCCTCCGGCCGCTCCCAGCACGCGTGGTCGCGGGACGCGTCCCCGACCTGCACGTACACGGTCCCGGGCGTCGACGTCGCCTTCAGCAGGTAGTCCGTCGCCCACCGCAGGGCTGCCCGGGCGTCCGCCTCGTGCGCCGCGCCGAAGCTGCGCCCGAAGTCGATTAGGCCCCAGGACATGAGCGTCGCCGTGAACGCCATCGGGAACCCGAACTTCACGTTGTCGCCCGCGTCGTAGTACCCGCCCGTCAGGTCCACCTGCAGAGCACGCATCATGGCGCCATGGCGAGGAGGGCGAGCTCGATCATTTTGATGCAATGCGAGAATGGTGTGCGCACGCATGAGATTGCAGAAAGAAAGAAAGAAAGAAAGAGACGTCCGTACCCCGGCCTCGGCGCCGTCGTGGATGGCCGAGTCCTGCCGCCACCGGAGGCGCTGGGTGGGTGGCAGGCGGCCGGACCGCTGGCCCTCGAAGAAGAGGATGCTCTTGCGGAGGGCGTCGCCGTAGTCGTGCACGGCCAGCACTGCCGACGCCGCCGCCGCGAGGAGCAGCGCCACCACCACAACCGCCATTGGCTTCGCCGTCGACACCGGGCGCGCCATGGGAACGAAACGGACCTTTGTGTTGGCAGTTTGGCGGTTCGGAGACCGGCCGGGGTGCGGAGGAATTATAGGGGCCCGACGCGACGCAACAGACATCCCGGTGCAGTAAATGGCCATGTGAGTTTGCGCAGAGGGGATGGGCGCGCAAGGAAAGGGACATGGGATTGCTGCCCAGGCCAAACGGCGGGCGCGCGCTACGAGGTCCTTGTGGGTAACGCTGCTGCTTGAGCAGCTTTCGAGTACGCAGGAGACCACCAGTGTATGCATCGGTTTGCCTCGTGGAACGAATGCATGGACTATCGGCCGGGCCGGGGCGCGGCGCAGGGTTTGGACGTGGGTCGAGTGACCGGCCAGGAGGTCTGAGGCGACGTGACTGGTCGAGAGGATGAGAGAGCTGGGAGGTGGGACCGTGGTGAGGAGGGCCCGGGTCGCCGGCGAGCTCATCACGTGACGACGTGGGCTCCTCCTCCTTGGGGATGCATGCGATGCGACCTGCAGGGCGTGGGGCGGGCATGTGCACGGCGATACGGGGCAGCCGGCGTGGGGAGGACCGTGCGGGCGCCGCAGTGCCCATCCCTCCCGCCGACGGCCCGGTGTGCTGCGAGTAAAGATGGCAACGGCACCTCGATACTCGATATCTGACGGTTATTTGATCTATCAGGGAATAAAGATAGAATCATATCTTTACTCATGAGTATTTAAATGGTCAAGAATCCATCCCCGACGGGTATAACGGATACGGGAACGTTCTCTATTTATCCGTCCCGTTATTCGTTGGAGAACTCGATTATTTGAGCTGTCATACAAGTATTAGGCCCAAAGAAGCTCAATATAGATATTTTGGTCCAAATCTGAACAATCATATATATAGTTTGTGTATTTAGGAACCCTAGTTCAAAGCTACGACCGATGTCCGGTGAAGAAAAAACGTCTCCGATTGCAAAGCTGTGACCCTAAGTGTTCTTGTTTATCGGGTATGCAGTACTCGTCGGGTATCTGTTACCCGACCGATACCGATGGATATGGAGATGAACAAAAATCTATACCCAAAACAGTTAACAGAGATGAAGATAGAATGAATTCTCGGTAGCAGGAAAAAGAACGTTCGTGGCTACGTCCCGTTGCCATCCTTAGCTGCGAGCTGCGGCGCCGATCTCTCTGGCCGCTAGTTAAAGCTAATCCGGGGCCGGCTACGGTTTCCGATGGCAAAGGTAGGAGTGACCGTGCAGTGCAGTAATAAAGCCAGTAACACAGTAAAAGCTGTGTGGTCAGGTCAGTGGTCACCGATAGGCGATAGCATGGCAGTAGTAGAGTCGTTCGGGTTGGTGACCGGTAATCCGGTATACTCCACTTGCCACAGGAAGTGGTGCTGGAGTGCTGGTACAGGATGCAATTTGCGGCTGTTATCCGTGGCCATAACCAAACATGTTACTGATAGGAAGCCAGGGAGCATATCCGCTCGAACTTCTTTGATGGTAGATGTAGTAGCCACCCCGCTTATTGGTTTTAACCGACCTTATTTAATCAATCAACGGTGTTTTTCTTGTAAAAAACCAACACCAACACCAACACCAACACCAACCATCAAATAGAGTGAGCATGTGCATCAATTTGAGGTCCTATTTTGGAAGATTTATTCTCACGAAACGGCAAAGGCTTCTAGAGAATATTCTACAATATAGCAAAGCAAAGAGTCGTCTTTCTCTCTTTCAAAATAAACTAGCAGGCAAGAGCATATGCCCCTTCGGAACGCGAGATTTTTTCTCGTTCCTACATTTTTTCTGAAGAAATGAACTGATTCTTGTGAAATTTCTATGCAATTTCTGTGAAATTTTTGCATTCCAAAGACACTCTAAAACTAGTTGTCGGGTTCATACATCCGGGGTCCCTAATGGACCTGCTTCCCAGCAAAAGTTTGGCCCAGCAGACGACGTTGCGAACGACGCACAACTCCTGGGCCGACCCAAAAACCTAAACGATACGCTAGAAAGACGATCCTATCTCCGATCGAAAGGCTCGACCAAGGAGGAACAACGCTCGTTTCCGACTCCGGCCCGCCTCTCTGACCGGAAGGCCTGGCCAAAGAGAAACAACGCTCGCTTCCGACTCCGGCCCGCCTCTCCGACCGGGAGGCCTGGCCAAGAAGAGGACAACGCTCTCTTCCAACTCCGACCCGCTTCTCCGACCGGAAGGCCTGGCCAAGAAGAGGACAACGCTCGCTTTCGACTCCGACCCGCTTCTCCGACCGAGAGTACACCGAACCCCTACTTACAGCTCTTCTCCGACCGGCGCAGTCAAAACCGACTAGGGAACGACCGAACGGGGACGCCCGCTCGGTAAGGACCCAAAGAATCAGGCGGAGCGAGTAAGGCAGGGTGCTCAAGTCAAACCGCAATACCAAGGATCGTACCTTACACACCTGTAGGACAGTACTGTCAGGTCATGTCAGAAGGGTACTTTATAATCTTTCAGACATGTCAGAACACAAATAGTGTTGTGGGCGTCGATATTTGTCCTACAGTATGGTAGGCGCCGATATTTGCCATACTAGAAGAATACGGTGGAACCAACCACATGCATCCGGCCATCAACAGTGTTGTGGGCGCCGACAAACGGCCTTGTACCCGACGGCGTGGGCAACAAAACTGTGTAGCACGCACACTCTCTTTCTCTCACTCTCTCTCTTGTAAAGCCATCTACTTCATCTATAAAAGGGGATGTGCTCTCTCCAAAAGGAGGACGAGTCGAACAACCATCCAACGATTCCAACGAACAACAGATGGATCATTCCAATTTTCTCTACTTGTGAAAGGTCCTAATGGCTAGAGGGGGGGTGATAGCCTAATAAAATTCTACAACAACACTTAACAAAATGTGTTAGACAATTTTGCGGCGAAGCGAGTGTTGCGCTAGCCTACTAAAATGCAAGCCACCTACCTCAATTATATTTTGAATAGTGTATGTCCACACAATAGCTATGACACTTAGCTAAATTAGTGTGCTCTCAAAGACTAACTAAAGAGCAACACTAATCAAACAAACAAACTCTCACAACTAGCTACACTAAAGAGCTTAATAAATAGTTTGCAGTAATGTAAGAGTGAGCAAGAGAGTTATACCGCCGTGTAGTGGTAGGAACCAATCAATCACAATAATGAATACCAATGTAGACCAATCACCTCGGAATCAAATGATGAACACAATGATTTTTACCGAGGTTCACTTGCTTGCCGGCAAGCTAGTCCTCATTGTGGCGATTCACTCACTTGGAGGTTCACGCGTTGATTGGCATCACTCGCCAAACCCTCAATAGGGTGCCGCACAACGAACACAAGATGAGGATCACACAAGCCACAAGCAATTTACTAGAGTACTTTTTGGCGCTCCACCGGGGAAAGGTCAAGAACCCCTCACAATCACCACGATCGAAGTCGGAGACAATCACCTCCTCCACTCAACGATCCTTGCTGCTCCAAGCCGTCTAGGTGGCGGCAACCACCAAGAGTAACAAGCAAAATCCGCAGCGAAACACGAACACCAAGTGCCTCTAGATGCAACCACTCAAGCAATGCACTTGGATTCTCTCCCAATCTCACAAAGATGTTTAATCTATGATGGAAATGAGTGGGAGAACTTTGGCTAGGCTCACAAGGTTGCTATGTCAATGAAAATGGCCAAAGATGAGAGCCACAGCTGGCCATGGGGCTTAAATAGAGCCCCAATCAAATAGAGCCGTTATACCCCTTCACTGGGCAAAACGCGCTCTGACCGGACGCTCCGGTCATACTGACCGAACGCTCCGGTCGTACTGACCGGACGCTGGCCCTCAGCGTCCGGTCGCCCGATGGACGCCACGCGTCACCAGCTTCAAACGCTGTTCGTCAGATTTCAACGGCTGCGAAGCTGACCGGACGCTCCGGTAAAACTGACCGGACGCTGAAGCCCCAGCGTCCGGTCGTTTCCAGTAAGCTCCCCGAGGCATGTTTTTTCGACCGGACACGTCCGGTCCACCTTGATCGGACGCAGCCAGCGTCCGGTGCTCAACCCTAGCCACTGTGTCGTCTGACAGCTCGACCGGACGCAGCCTTTCAGCGTCCGGTCGCTGAGTGACCCAGCGTCCGGTCAATAGACCGACGCCAGCATCATTTCGATCAACTCCATTTCAACTCTTACTTCTTCACCCTTGCTCAAGTGTGCCAACCACCAAGAATTTTGCATCCGGCGCAATAGAAAATAGACATTTCATTTTCCCGAAAGCGCCGAATCCCGCCGAGCTTGCGAGTTTACACATCTCAACCCTACAAACACCTTGTGCACATGTGGTAGCATATTTACACAAATATTATCAAGGGTGTTAGCACTCCACTAGATCCTAAATGCATATGCAATGAGTTAGAGCATCTAGTGGCACTTTGATAACCGCATTCCGATACGAGTTTCACCCCTCTTAATAGTACGGCTATCAAACCTAAATGTGATCACACTCTCTAAGTGTCTTGATCACCAAAATAAAATAGCTCCTACAAGTTATACCTTTGCCTTGAGCTTTTTGCTTTTCTCTTTCTTCTCTTCAAGTTTAAGCCCTTGATCATCTCCATGCTATCACCATTGTCATGTTATGATCTTCATTTGCTTCTCTACTTGAAGTGTGCTACCTATCTCATGATCACTTGATGAACTAGGTTAGCACTTAGGGTTTCATCAATTTACCAAAACTAAACTAGAGCTTTCAGCTTGGCTCTAGAACTCTAAAGCCAAATAGGGCACACGTTCGAACACTTAGCGTATGTCGGAGCTCCCGTCACTCTTAGCCCTTCGGTCCGGAGTCCGACCGGACCTCTGACACCCCCCATCTTACTCTCTCTCATTTCTAACCCCACAGCAAGCTTCGAGCACCTGGGCTCAGAAATAAAGTCACCGATCGACTCAAACTAGACGTAGGCACGTTGTCTGAACCAGTAATAAACCCT